CAAAGGGGTCGATGACTTGTGAAGGCGGAATGGAGTTGTCGCGCTCACATTGGTCCGAGCCGGCGCAAGGCCATTGGACTTTCGGCTTGGCTGCCCATGATGCCCAGAGGTAGTAGGAGTCGTGTGAGAGTGAGGGAAGAAAAGTCTGAGCGATGATGCCATGCTGCCTACTTAAGTACTTACTTAAGTACTTAGTAAGTAGTACCAGACATACTCCCAACACAGACAAAGTCGACGAAGAGCGGGACTGGTACCCCATATTTATAGCTTAAATGAGTAACTCCGGATTTATTCATCACAGCCCCATTCCGCAACTCTTGGCGGGAAACAAGTCCACGCGTATCTAGGGCCTGAAGAGTCCGAGAACAATCATGATGAACAATCTTGATGCAACGACGCCTTCGTTAAGCATATGCAAATTGGTGGCCGGTGGGTACCCAATGAGTAGAGATGTGGCGGCGCCACTGCGACGTTGAGCAGCGTCTCAGGACATGGTGAGTGAAGGGTGAGTTGGGTCTGGAGAGACGAAAGCTGGTATTGCCGAGTCTGCATTTGATACTTGAAACTCGCAGATATCATGAATGCAGTGTAACAAGCCAGAGCTCAGGGTCAATCAGCATTGTCAACAGTCGACCGGACATTGTGTGCTCTCGGTGCCAGACTACAAGTACTCAGTACCTCGATATACAGAGTAAAAAACCTCCTGGAGCCGGTACTGTATACCTTTTGGCCGTATCTCTCGAATCTCCAGTCCCACGTTTCTGATGCATGCCGGTTAAGTTCCGGCAATGGAAGGAACGATGGGACGTGAGACATGAGGCACTTGGTAGTACTAGCTCAAGCTCAAGCTCGAGTGGGAAGGAAGGAACCACCCTTGTCTGCGAGCGACCCATGCCAAAAACACGCGCCACCAGACTGGGCCTACTTGTAGACCTGCAGACGGAACCATCCATCGTCGGCAATCCAAACAAAGGCAACGCTGCCTACATTCGCCCCTCGACAATAACACAGCTCGATTGACCGACTATTGAACCTCACTATTGTGGCGCTTCACGTAAACGCATCTCCGACAGTCAACGCTGGTATCGCTAGTCACTGGCCAAAGCTATTGTTGTTGCAAGTACATCCGAAGCTGCAACCACACACACCTGATCGCGTCCCAAGCCGTAGCGCCATACCGATCAATTGCCACGAGCCACTGTGTCTAATGCTATGCCGACAATCGCGACTACCAACGCCATCAACACGTAGTAGCACTCGCCCAGCGCCCACGACAAATATGCAACCGCGTGCTGCCGCTGCTTGAGGCGCGCGTCACTAAGCACATCGCATCCAAGCCCGCGGGCCACAGGCGGAATCACGCACCAGACTTGCTCATGGACCGTGGCGGCGACACGGCGGCATCACGGCCGAATGGGCGAGCGCAGCCGAACCAGCTACATGTAAACCACGAGACTAGGAAGCCGCTGTTCTCCAACAATGCCCCGCGAAACATGGGCAATGGCCCTCAATCCGCATCCGCTTCGGTCGGCGCTGGTGCAAGACCCGGAGCTCTGGGGACAGTAGGTCATATTGGGCTCGCGCGACGAGCAAAATCTGATCCACAGAGCATGGCATCTGGATTCGGAAAAGCTCAAGAACACACCGATGCAAATGCTAGCACTGCCAGCATATTCTCTACGGGAGGCAGTCGAATACCCCGACCCAACATCTCAGGGCTTCAGCATCGGCGGCCGATTTCGATGGCAGAAGCTTTCAAGCTAGCCCAAGAGGAGGAAGAGGAAGCCGAGCAAGAGCGACAACAAGGGGGTTCGCCGAGCCCAGCGCCACGAGTATGGCGAGCGCGGCCCGGACAACCCCATGACGAGACTCAAGCGCGAAAGATGATGGCCGAAGACCCCTTGGACAGCAGAGCACGAGCACGACAATATACCGAAGCCGAGGCGCCGGGTGTGCAGTCACCAAACGCGAAACCGCAAGCTACAGAGCTGGGAACAGCCACATCTAAGAGAGGCAACGGCCCCAGCTTGCAGGACCGCATAAATGAATGGAGGACGAAGTCGCGACCGAGCTCCGACTGGGCTGAGAAGTCGCCAGAATCCCTGAGAGATGCCAGTGGCGAGCCGCACCTTCCTGAATTGGTGCCGGGAATCGAAGATGTTCCCTTTCAATCCATCGAATTCCCGGGTCGCAATGGTGCAATCCTATCCCCATCAAAAGATTATACATGGCAGGTGGACCATGATTTTACCGCTGGAGATTTGCAGGTGTCGGATAGCCCGCGAATCAAAGTAGGGAATAACAGCAATAAGCCGTTTGCGAATCGCCCATCGATATTGGATAGAATTGATATCAGGTCGCCTGCGCGGATTACTAGTCCTCAGACGAGAAATACCAGGCTAGACGAAATCCGAGCACGAGAACTCAATGTTGAAGGGGGCAGCCTCGCAGGACATTCAACTTTGACGCCACAGCATTCTCGAAGATATACCAAGTTGGAAGAGATTCGGGCGAGAGAATCTGCGGCCGAAAAGCAGATACCTATACCCGATCGAAATCAACCACGGCCCAAGAACACCAGGTTAGATGAAATACGACAGCGCGAAACAGAAGGCTTGTCAAGACGCGCCCTTGCCGCAGCCCGACTAGAGGAAATCAAGGAAAAAAACGCCATGACGAGGCCATTGCCACCAGAAAAGGGCAAATCACGGATTGAAAATCGCCCCGAGATGCGACCACCTGCTCGCCCTAAATCAGCTCACTACGAGGGAGGAGAGCATATTCCAGACACCCCAGTCACAGTGTTTAAGAACCATCGCCCTAAGCAGGAGAACATCAACCCCGAGGAGACGGGGACTACGCATGGCAGGGGTGTCGCTGCAGTGAAGCCAGATGTTAATGAACGCGACTTGCTGCGACGGCTGGCCCGCGCCGCCAGCTCAAGTCCAGCACCCGAACCAGTGAATAGACGTGCTCCCCTCACAGAGCGCCAGAAACCAAACGAAAGTGAGACGGTTGTGACAAAACCGACACTGGCGGGACGTTCGACAAACAATGGACGAAAATCAGCTCTCAGCTCTCACAATAAGGTTGCTGAATCCTCAAGACCAAGTGTCGGATTTGCTGGCTTAAGACGCATCCCGTCAACCGAATCAGCTAAGAGCAAGCCATCAAGTATGCATTCAGAGTCGGATCCAACTGCTCGGATAGAAGCCGAGGCGAAGCTGTTTGCGCCGCGTGACGATTACTCCGAGCCGGGATCCGTACGAGCACCGTCACCCGTGCCGGACAGTGATGAAGAAGAAGAAGACGTGGCAGAGGCTACTCCCAAGCCACAAAAGCACGAGTTTCTGCATATGGAGACGCCCCGGGTCGTGGGTGCCTATGTTGAAACACCCGTCACGGCCAAAATAGACAAAGTCAAGGAGGAGGAAGCGCAGGACATCCAGCCGTTGAAAGAGAAGCTGAATGATCAAAGACGAGCAACGTCAAAACCAGATGCCACCACGTTATTTCGTGATAAGAAAGCGAGTCTCGCGTGGCGGAATAAAGACGAAGACACGGCCTCTGAGCCCGGTGCAAGAGGGGAAATTGCAGGCGATTATGCTGCGGCATCTGCGGCATCTGCAGCAGGCAAGAAGCCTCGATCACGATCATTACCTCGCAGTCGACCATCAGTGAAAAACTCAGCCAAACCACCATCGGTCAAGGACGATTTACGCGAACTGCAGCGCAAGCACAACATTGAAGACTCAACCATTGATGACTTGGAGGACATATTGACCGGTCGAAAGCATGCATCACCAAAGCTGAAGGAGCTGCTAGAAGAATTACCTGTCAAAGCAGAAGACAAAATTGATGAAGAGTTGAGAGCTGTGGAAGCAGAGATTCAGAAGCTGAAGCGAGAGAATTCAGAAGACAAGGATATGTCGGCGGGCGAAATGGCTTTGTATGACAAAATGAGCAAGAATCTCCGCACGGGACTGTCGAGTATACATACTGCTAAGCTTGGCATCGACAAACTCTACGACCAGGTTGCCCAAGCCGAAAAACAGTCAACCACAGATGAGGATGTTTCAAAGCCGCTCCAGCGTCGGAAACACCAACATGCAAAGGACCACAAGAATTTGCCCGATGTGTCGTGTCCAGAGTGCACGGCCGATCCGGGGCCAACCAGCTTGACCTATCTTCGTCTCCCCATCCCTCGACTCTTCTATACCAGTCCTCGCTTTCGTTTAAGCTGGCTAGGCCTCGTTGTCGCAATTGTTTCAGTTTGGTACCTGGCTGAGTTGGCTGTGTGTGGGAAGTACTGCCGACCCGCAGCGTGTACATCTACACCGTGCGTGTATTCCTACGACGACCCAACATTTGGCAATGCACTTCCTGTGAAGATAGACCAGTGGACGACGGGAGGAAACGGTCGGAAACTGGCAGCGTGGCTGCTGGAGGAGGTTGAAGACTGGGCGGCCGACATGGGAGACGCTCTATGCGGACGGTCATTGGAAAGCATACCAGTGGACCAGTTGAGCGCGGCAAAAAGACGGCAGCACCGACGCAGACTACGAAAAAGAGGCCTCATCAAATTGCCGACAAAGGCCGCGCCAGACCAGACGGCAAAATGGGATGCATGGAGACGGTCGAGGCTAGAAAAGGAGCGGTCACGGGACATGGGCGAGGACCCAGGCGATGGCTGGCTTGAAGAGAGCCTGGGAGGAGACGAACGGGTGTGGTGAGAGATGTTGTCGCCCAATTTTTTCTCCCTCGAGCGAGGGCCTGAATGAATCAAGATAGCTTTGCTAATTAGCGTTGGGATCCGTCGTCATTGCGCATACCGGTCAGACTGGGCGTTGGGGCTCAAAAATTATATATGTATATATATCCGTCTATGATGAATAAAGTAGCTTCTTTTGCCTTGTTCCAAACGCCAAAAACACCAAACCTCGCCATAGTCTGGGAAAACAAAGAAGACAAAAAACAAAGGCGAAACCCACGCCCAAATATCAATCCTCAATACCGCCCCAGCCCTCATCCTCATCCTCATCCTCCCCTTGTCCCTCGCCATCACTCTCCCTCGTCCCCCAAGGCAGCCTCTCGTCAGCATAGCTCTCAGAGGCCCTATTCCGCACGCTCTTGACCGGGCTCGCCCTCAACGCGTCCACCATGTCGCCGACCCTGCGCACCCACTCGTCCCTCGCGGCGACGTCGTCCTCCTCCTCCTCCTCGCCGTCGCCCGCCGGCCCCAGGGCCTTCTCCCTCTCCAGCTCGTCCACCCACAGATCCAGCACGTGCAGCCTCAGCCCCAGCGACACGCCGTCCTCGTCGTCGGCGTCAAAGGCCAGGCGCCTCCACACGTCGAGCATCCGGTCGACCTGCTCGCCGGCCCACGCCCTGCCGCGCGCGAAGCGCACCTGCGCGGCGAACGCGCGCCGCACCAGCAGCAGGAACTTGTCCATGCGCAGGGCGTCAATCGACGCCCACTGCCGCGACAGCACGCCCCAGAAGCCGCTGGCCAGGGGGGCCGCGCACGCCGCCGGCACGTCCAGCACCAGGTTGGCCAGGTCCGCCGCGAGAGCCTGCTGCGGCCGCGGCCGGTCCGTCATCCACAGCGCGTAGTACAGCCCTGTCCAGAGCTTGAGCGCGTCCGCGGCCGGCAGGCCCGTCCTGGACGATAGGTACGTCTGCAGCGTGGCGAGCGATTGCGTGCGAAGCTTGCGGTCTGTGATTGGGGATTTTGCTACAGGTCAGCCGTGTGATACTGGCGGAGGGAGCGCGCGGGGGCGGAGGGAGGGAGGATTACCGCTCGAGGCGAGGTTTTTGATAAATGGCATCTGGGCTTCTGCGGCGGCCATGGTGATGCTGTGCGTCGTCGGTGTCGACGGAATATCGTGCTTTTTTTTTTTTTGGCAATGGCGCTGCGACGTCGATTCAAGCTGTAAATTGCAAAGGAAAAAAAAAAGATGCTGTTGCCCCCGCGCCCCACTTCCAAGGGTTGAGCTTATCTTATCGGAGCTCCGTGACCGTGATCGCATTGGAGCTGGACTTGGACTTGCGGATAAGCTAGCCAAAGTGAATAAAATTACCTTTTTCGCTGGGCCGTCGTGCAGCCCTGGCGCCAGCCTCGACTCGAGATAGCCGAGACCACTGGCTCGAGTGTATTACGCAGAGGGGCCAGCGGTGCACATGGCTTTGCTGGATGCGATTGCGAGGCCGTGGTGCCGGGAGAGCCTCGGTGGTGCCGCCGCTGCTCCAGACGGGCCAGGGGGACGAGGCCTACGCGAACAACTTGTATGACGGTATGATTCTGCATCGTCTGGCGGCGACGGGGTAGTTGACGGGACGGTACGTCGTTTGCTTGCCTTGTTAGAAAACCATGTCCCCGCCGTCCCCTCCGTCTCTCCGTCTCTCCGTCCCTGCCTCCCATCAACTACGTACGTTTTTACCTGACCGTGGCGGAACGGAAAGAACCAACTTCAGCCTTGCGAGAATACATGGGCGTGTTGCACATGGCGTTTCCCCTAGCGACCTCATTTTCGCCTACATTCGAGGACGTGCCGTCTCCCAAGTACATGCCGTCTCCTCCGAGCTCGCCAGCCACTCCGCCTGGTGCAGGGGACGAGCAGGGCAAGAAAGACGACAAGGGCCGACGCCTGCTGCTGCACCAGAACCCGTCGTATCAGGAGAATCTACGGATTCGCCAGCGCAACCTGCTCAGCACGCTGGATCATCTAGATGCCAAGCTGGAGCCGTTGCTGGATGTCGATACGGGCAAGGCGATTGCTGGGTTCCCCGAGACGCTGAGGGATATTGACAAGCTGGGGTGTACGTATTGGATCGTACTCATTTTCTTGCTCTTTTTTTATTCCTTTTTTGAAACTGACCGTGTTGATGTGATGTAGACGACGAGGGGGTGAGGATTTTAAAGGCAGTGGGCGAATCAGATGTCCATGGCGATGAATACGACGTTCTGTACCATGTGCGACGATGGGCTGCGAGTAAGTTGTTTTGTTTTCCTCTGTAGGTGTTTCGTGTTTTGACAGCTGGTGCTGACTTTGGCGTGGGCAGCGAGGCCGACTGAGAAGGAGATGCCAGGCGAGGGGGAGGGGAGTCCGGAGGACAAGAAGACGACGATGTAGTTGGCAGATTGGGAAGCGCAAGTACGAACTTTTTGGTGCGTGTAGTTTGCCATCTTGGGCGGAATGTCTGGCAATGAGGTTGGATTGCCAAGATGGATATACATACGGACGGGCAGCGGAGGTCAATGATACACACCACATCCTTGCACCATGACCGCCATCCCCGTGCCGCATAGGCATACACTGAGCTTGCGCAAATATCTGTATCCCAGTTAGCAAATCGAACTCGACCTCGTCATGTCATCGACGGCATGCCGGCAGTTGGCCCCACATGCAGCCAGGCCCAAGGCGCTCGCTCATGCACTCCACCCCTCCCCTCCCGCAAAGCCTGCCCCGCGGCAAGACGGCCCCACCATCGTCACTTCCAACAGCTTCACCTTCCATCCTCTACCTCCAACCTCCCTCCATCCACCATCACCCCCCAAAACCAAAGCAGCCATGTCCACCAAGCGCATCAGCAAAGTACATATCCCCCCTCCCCGGCCCCATGCCGCTTCCAATTTTTTTCCCCCTCTCTACAAAAGAAGAAGAAAAACCTAACCCCAGACAGGAATACGCCGAAATCTCGCAATCCCCCCCAGAGGGCTTCACCATCTCCCTCCCGCCCAACGAGTCCATCCACACGTGGCAAATCACGCTCGTCCCGCCGCCCGCGTCGCCCTTCCACCCGGGCAAGTACGGCATCCTGCTCACCCTCCCCGTCGAGTACCCCTTCAAGCCGCCGGCCGTGCGCTTCACCACGCGCGTCTACCACCCCAACGTGACCAACGACTCCCTCGGCAACGTCTGCCTCGGCATCCTCAAGCCCGAGAACTGGAAGCCCTCGACAAAGGTCGCCGCCGTCCTCGACGCCCTGCGCAACCTGCTCGTCGAGCCCCAGCCCGACGACCCGCTCGAGGAGAGAATCGCCGACGAGTACCGCAACGACCGGCCCGCCTGGGACAAGAACGTCCGCCTCCACGTCGACAAGTACGCCCGCGGGGAGCCCGTCTTCCCCCCCGTCACCAAGTAGGCCCGACCGAGCCCGCGGGCCCGTGAGCAACACACGCTGCTGCGGGAAGCGAGGCGAGCGCGGCGAGGACACCAATAGAGCGCCGCGTCAAGGCATGTCTGTCACGAGAATACGAGCGGAGCGAGGGCACAAGAACACGCAATGTACATTGAGCTAGAACACCTGTATCAAATTGTTTGCCGCACCTACCCCCCTTGCTTGCTCCTCCAGCTCAGACGGCCCGCCCCGTGAGCACGTTTCTTACTTTACAAACCACAACCGCTTTTGCCGTTCCTTTACCAACTACCTAGGTACCTACCTACCTAGGTACTTCAAAACCTAGGGGTAAGGGATACGAAACACAAAGCACCGTGCTTTAGACGCAATCGACACAAAACACTCCACGTCCAATCCTCTGCTATTTCTCATCATCATCGGTGTCAATTATCACCATTCTACCTATATAATATATGCTGCCTTGACGCCCAGTTTACTACCGTGCCAGATTTCTTTTTCTATCCAGAAACTGACAAAAAAAAAAAAGAAGAGAAAAGAAGAAAAGAAAGAAGAAAATTTGATTATGTACATAACCCCGGTACCCATCTATGCACGCACGCCACAAGTACGCCGTCCATGCGCACCGCCTCAATAGCAAGCCGCAGAGAAATGTATTTCAACATCACTCCATCATGCCAAAAGCCACTGGCCACTAGCGTGGCGATAAACCAACACCAGCCTCACATTTTGATGCAGACGTAAAAGTCATGAGTTATCACACATAACCCACTTGGCTTTCGTGGCGTCTCCCCCAGCAGAGACAACTACTTGCGAAAGGGCCGGTGGTGAAATGACAAAATAGAAAAAAACAGGTATGCATGTCATCCAGGAAAAATCACAACGCTTCATGAAAGTCCCATCAACTGTCCTTGGTCAAGGTCCGGCAAGAGAGGTGTGCAACGTCGGTAAGCCTTCGAAGGAACCACGAAGGAGAAAGAAAAGAAAGGAAAAGAAAAGAAAAGAAAAAGAGGGGTATAAGTTGAAAATTTGTGATGCTCACCCACGTATTTAACCACGTTTGGAGCAGAAGAATGAATCAAGAAAAAGAGATAGTCGGGTGCGGCCCAACTCAGTGAGTCTGTGCTTCACAAGACAGTTAAACCTCTGCAGCCCTCAGGTTGGCACTCTTTTTCCTCCCAAAAAGAGTGCCTTTGCGTGATACGGAACCCGACTCCACTTCAGTCAAGTTGCCGCTCAGGTCCGTCTTTTCGCGCTGCTGCAGGCTTTGTTCGAGCTCTTGTTTGGCCCTTTGACGCCTTTCCTGTCGGCGTTCGTCAATGGCTCCCTGACTAAGATGACCAAATCCGTTTCTTCGCTTAAAGCAAGCTTCCATGAGAGCATTGGCGTCCAGCATTCGCCGGGGGATTGCCTGAACAACTCCAAACATTTCCATCGGATCTTTGACCGCCTTTATTTCGCTCTCGCCGCTCTTGAAAATCGCCAGTGCAATGCGGAAGAGTGTCTTGGAGCCCTCATAGAAGAAGACATCCCAGACTCTCAGTGTTGTCTCGATGGGCAACGTACCAATATAGCAGCTCATAAACCAAGCCGTCATGCACAGTGTAATCGGAGGTAGACGATCTGTAGATAATCTTGGATGTTCCCTTCGTCGCAAAATGGGCCTAGTTTTGCGTATAGACTTACTCGTGCTGGGCCTGCCCGTGGGAAGGTTTTCTAGTTCTCCGCCAATCTTGTCCCATACCGAGGGCATCGTGTCACGCAGTTCCGTCATGAGCACACCCAAGTCCACCTTTGATCCTTCCAGGCTCATATCGTGTGTTCCCGGCAGGTAGATAATGGTGATTACATTCAACAACCAAAAGCATTGCTCTTCTGTCTCCACGAACAGCAGCAAGAGTCCAGCCAGGAAATTTAGACTCTGGCAGTAACCAATACGGGGATTATAAATGGAAAAGGCATGCAAGACACGGCGAAGTGACGTGATAATCGGTGGCTCATTCGAAGCAGCAGGTAGCGGTCCCGGTGTGCTTTCATCCCCAGAGGAACCCGTCATTGTCGATTGGCTGGTTCGCTCGCTGTTGGGCACAGACTGGAAATTTGCTGATGGCTTGAACTGAATATTGTCCGGAAACGTCCTGTGCAGGTCTCGTTCAATTGCCTCGATATCCACCTGTTTAGCTGATTTATGCAAGAGCCTTTCGTATAAGCCGGCGTGTTTGGCCAAGATTGCCGGCCCACCCGCATAGTAAAACCACGCTGCTCCACGCCAATCGGGCGGTATCCCTTTCCTCACAAATCTCTTCGTCTTTGCATTTGGCGAGGGGAATCGAATGGGACGATCAGTCATCAGGGCACAGTCTTTGAGGTAGGCTACCCACTTCCGTCGTCTTCGAGCAATGTACACCGAGTACTCGGCGTTCCACGCATCGTACTGTTCTCTAGTAATAGATTGATTGGCCTTCTTAAAGCCATATCGGTCGCGTGAGCCAGGGTCCTCGGGCTCAATTGGCATCGGCGTGGCCGTTGGAAGCGCAGGCTTTGAGGCTGGGGGTGGTAAGTTCACAGTCGTTGGAAATTCCTTTGCGGGAGCCGGGTCTGATGTGATTGACGGCTCAGAATCAAGTGACTTGGCCGAGTCCCGTTTTTCCGGCATATCTACATCGGCCTTCCCTGCTATAGCCGCCACGGATGCTGTGAAAGCTGGGCTGGTAAAGATCATCTTTGATTGACGGATTTCGGCGTCTAGTGTGGAACGGGCGGTTGGCAGTGGCGGTTCGAGGCTCTTATCAGCAACAGGAACAGTAAAGGGAATACTCGGTACAGCTGGAGCTGACCGAGTGTCAGGTTCTGACACAGCCGTCATCGGTCTCGAATCCAAGTTGCCTTCGCTCTCGGGATCATCGAAGTCACTTTCGTTTTCATCATCCGCAAAGCCCTTTTCGTACATGCCCATAACATCTTCCAAGCTGGGCTCATCGGGGTTCTCGAGGGAGGTGACAGAGCTGTCTTTTGTAAGAACACTACTGCGCTCTGTGACAGCTGTACCAGGGGTTGTTGAGGCAGTGAGCTGGGATCTGAAACTGGACCGCAATTCATCCCCGCTCAGCCAGGGAGCGGTCCCACCCGCGCCTGGGCTTGTTAGAGGTGTTGAAACGGGATACTCCGGGCGGCCAGGGACAGCAGGAGTCCGAGCGGGTGTAAGAGCTGGTGGACCAGTAACATTTCTTGCACGATGCCTTGACTCAATAAAATCGCTGTTTGTATGCGGTAACGGAGAGGCGTAAGTGGAGGATGACTTGACAGAGGAGGCAGAGGGACGCCTGGGTCGTTGCCATGGAGGCGTTTGTGACAAGGGGTTGGCGAGATCCAGGAAGCGGTCTGTGAGATTTGACATGTTGGCCTGTCGTGGCCTGATAGGGTCTGGACTATGAAGGTTTTCCGGTGGTCCAGCTTGACGTATGCTTTGCTTTCGGGGTCTTGAAAAATTTTCGACTAGAGGGGTGCCCTCTGATGAACGCATATCTGCCAAGGATGTTTTAGCTTTAATCGACCGACATGGTGATTCATTTCGAGGCTCTGGAGTGCCTATCCGTAGGCTGCGAGGGCTTCGCAGAGATTGAGATACAGCCGGTCCAGCTAGAGGGGGAAATGGTTGGGGTAGCATGGCCTCAGATAGCATTGTCGGTGACACTCTAGAACCGGAGGTTGGACTCTGATTTAGTAAGTGCAGCCCATGAGAAAGTGAGTCCCATCGAGGCGAGACGGGCAGTGGAGGTATCTCTGGTAGCTGTGGCACTTTTTCTCGAGCAGATGTATCGACAGTCAATGGCTTGATTCTCGAGGCATACAAGGAATACTTTCGATTGCGAATGGGGTGTTGACCAGGAGGAATTGAGCCTTCTTCATCGGACTGAAGCACCGCCATAGAGTCCATTGTGGCTGTCCAGAGCCTAGGGCCAGCGGAGGAAGCTTGAGGAGCCTAGTGACTTGAGTATCAGGATTGAATGTAGATGAGCTGATCCCACAAGTGTTTTCCGAAGATGATGGGGCGTGAATCCGAGTAGTGAGAGTAATCGGTCTGTGTTGCATGGATGCGAGACTTGGTGTAGGAAGAACAAATAAAACGCCACTGTTTCAACACTCGACTATCGTTGAATAAAGAAACATACAAGTCGCCATAGCCGGGACGATGCGCTCGCTCGGTGCTAGGCGGGAGATGATGAAACTGGCTGGAAAGCGTGTGCCGTAATAAATGAAGCCGATATTCTAATCGAATTGTCGAACAAGTGCGAGAGGGAGAGCGAGAAGGGAAAAGGCGTGGTTGGTCAAAGGAGCGTTCGGCAGCCGTGGTCAGTCGAGCCCTAGTATGTTGAACAGCCTGCAAGTTAGGAAAGAGTGGAAGCTAGAGATTGCTTTTGTCTCGTATCTCTGCGAAGGCCGCGATGGCTAGTTGTAGAAAGGAAGGAGAGACGGGGAATCGAGGAAAGATTTCGACAAAAGAAGCGAAAACTGCGTTGGCAGTGGTTGAAACGGTAAAGAGTGGCGCCAGAATAGAAGCAGCGAAATGCGGTGCCTTGGAACGTCGGGATGCGATACGTTCAATATTAAGCTTTGCCCTAAATGGAGGCTGTTGGGCAACCTGGTGTCGAGATTGGATGACGTTGAACAGAGTAAAATTTGGTTGGGCAGACGAAACGCCGCCGGTGCAAAGTTTCCTGCGGCAGCTAGTGAGGCTTATGGCCACAAAATCCCCATCCCAAACCCAGGACCAAAGGCAAGCAGACGGCAGTTGAAGGGACAGGACGTGGTGGAACTCGGACAAGGAGCGCTCGGTCAGGGATGGTGAATATGCTGCGAAGCTCCCGGTGTTTGAAGTTTGGTGTTGCGGTGCCAGGCTGCGGCTGCGGCTGCGGCTGCGATGGGATATTTTTGCTCGACTCAGATGTCACGGGCGGCCTGGTCCGTGGAATGTCGATTCGACACAATGGGCTGAAATGAATAAC